CACACACACACACACACACACACACACACACACACACACACACACACACACACACAGACAGAGAGAGAGAGAGAGAGAGAGAGAGAGAGAGGTGCATTGTTGAGCATTGACGTATGTGCATTTCTGTGATCTGGTTGTGAATGCAGAATCTCGGCTACAGTTTCGACATCCTCTGAGCTGGCAACCACGACCTCCACTGGATCTGCTTTTGTCCGTTACGATGGAAGAGCAAACACCCCTGCCAGTAGCTACAGGCCCCAGCCCATTGTTTTCGCCTCAGGTTGGAAGGAAGCATTTTGTCAATATGTATATATTTTTTTTCAATTTCTCTCACTTCCATGAGCTATTGTTTAGAAAAGATCAGGGACACTTCCTTTGTTTTTCCTTTGGGGTATGGGCGCCACTAATAATATGCTGTGGAAAAAAAAAAGATACAAGGACTGTTGACAAGCCCGCATGCTCACTACTGTAGACTGGGATTTGCACCAAATACAGCTGTAATGACTATGCGTTCTATGACACTCTGGTATAAACTTACAACACGTGTATGGCCTTGCTCCACTACTCTCCACATGCACAAACTACAAAATCACTGCTCTACGCATGCACAGACGACAAAAATTTTAGGGATGTATCTTTCCATGTTCTAGCGGAGGATTCAGTCGCATTTTGCACATTTGGAGAGTAGTGGAGAGAGGCCCTATGCGTGACTTGATACAGAGGTTACAGACTTGTTGTAGAGCTTGTCCAACCATAGCTTTGGATTGGTTGGCCAAGGGGGCAGTTACACTACTCTGAGAGATGGTTAACGGGGGGCCAAATATGCGCCTTTTCCGCCGGCTCTTTCGGTGCAAAATTTATAGAAAATTTAGAAAACAAACGATAAGGGTCCATAGTGCAAACATCAAAAAAAGAAACAGGCCAAAGAAAACGGAAAAAAAAAAGCACTATAAAAAATTAAAAATAGTATAAAACGGTTAAAACCCTAACACAAAAACACTGTCCGAGTTAAAAGTGAAGCGTCCAACGAAATGCCAACATGTCAAAACTGGAGACATCACGTACCCTAAAGCACATATATCTCACACAAACACAAACTGACAGTTTCAGTGCAAAATTTGCTGAAAAGAACACCCCTGGTTAACCACATGTGAACCCAATGCTCCAGAACGATTCCCTTTTTGTCCGGTCCCACAATGGTCCCACAATGTTCACCGCAAATAGGCCGCAGTCGATTAAACCTTTACCCCAACATGCGGGTTAACACGGTGCAAAAATGTGGTTCAGGCTCACCAGAGAGAAAAGGCCTCTGGCACCTGGGAAGATTGCGCCCGCCGTGGTTCCCTTGTTTTTCCAAGACGGGCAGCAAAGCATGGTGGAAAAAAGGGGCGGGCTCAGAGGTGCTGGTGGTTCAAAGCACCACCACCTCCGAGCCTCTTTTTGCTGAGGGGAAAAATAAATAACTACGCACCAAGCTTTGCGGAAGGGCGAGTGCAGTGTTTTTTTTTTTTTTTTTGGGCTGGGGCCAGCAGCCATTGTGGTCTGATAGCACTTTTCATCTGAAGCACCAGGGGTGTTACTCTTCTTCTTCTTCTTCTTCTTCTTTTGGTTGGGGGAGGCGGGGAGGAGGGGGTTTACTTTTTTCATTCTCAACGCTGCCTGGGAAAGGTAGTGGTGGTTTGAAGAGGAAGGTGGGGACAGGTGACTGGGGGACGCAGTGAGGCTGTTGCATACTCGTGAATACTTCAACAAGTATGGGCAGAACCAAGAGATCAACCGATATAGGATGAGCATGTATGCAGCGGAAGTCTGACAAATGGACTGACTCACATAGACTGACTCATACAGATATCACTCAACACAAACAATCGTGAGATGGTGGGGTCTGAGCCAATCATAGACGATGCTCAGGCCCCGTACGATCATACACAGATGAAAGGTGGGAGGAGAGACGAAGGAGGTGGGAGATGCAGGCAGCACCAGATGTCACCGAGATAGAATCCAGTAGGTCGCTGATATGGTAGTCCAAAATGTCATCGAACAAGATCAAAATGCCGTGGTCAATAAGTCATCAATGTCGGAGGTACAGGGTCCTAATGTAAACGGTGTCCGATCTGTGTGATGCCGCCGAGTATCAACCCCAACAATCTCCAAGTCTCGAATCCGGTAAGTACCACAGCCTCTTACCTCCGAAGTCCAACACTGATCTCTGTCCAACTAGTATCAAGTCTCCAGTCTGAAGAAGAAGAAGAAGTCTGAAGAAATAGAAGAAGAAGAAGAAGCAGAAGAAGAAGAAGTCAGAAGAAGAAGAAGAAGAGAACAGAGGAGGAGGGAGAGATGAGGAGGTAGGGAGGAAGTAAGTCCTCACCGCCCTGTCCTGGTCCTAGCCTTACCTGCAGGTGCGACTAGGAGTCCACTGAAGCCTCCGGCTATGGCGCCACAGGTAGGTATCAGGTAGGTACCTCGCTCCTCTCGATCCCAGACTGCAGCCTAGCGCTAATCGTGCGCTGCTGCTGTAGCGCTGCGCGTGAACCCAGAATAGCGCAGCGCTCCTCCGTACTGCTGCTCAACCGAAACGAACTGGCGCTACTGCAGCGTCCAGTTGGTCGATGCCCGCAAGTGAGGCCGGTCGGTCTCTAAGTACCGGTAGGGTAAGGGCCGGCCTCAATGCTGCGAGGCCTGGCCGTGACCTGAACCGTCAAGATCGGCGGTTCAGATCAGACCGGCGGGCGGCAGCCTCAAGAGTGCCGCCAGGCCCAAACGGTAATGTCATTTGGGCCTGCCTGTCAGGTCTGGTCCAAAAAATGTGGCCTAAGGCCAACCGGTGGGCCTGAATGGCACTACCGGTCTAAAGGTCCGGCCTTGGGCCTGGACCGGCCTCCGAACCCCTATCTGTCGGGCCTAACCGGGCCCGTGTGACATAGTATGTAACACACTCCCCCCCTTAAAAGACCGAGCTACCTGCGAGGGCGAAGTTGTCTGTCCGATACCGGGTTGGGTCGGGTGGGGCGAGCTTTGTCCTTGGCAAGTCTTCGAGTCTCATAGTCGGAGAAGATGAGAGGTGCAGATGCTTGTAAGTCTGCGCGGGAGATCCAACGAGTGTCATTTGGGTCACATTGCTTGAAAGTGACCGGGTATTGCATTGGCTTGTTGTTAAACTTGCGGTGCCTGATGACACGGTCAACTTCCTGATGGCCGTCCGTAGAGGGCGGATCCTGTGATCGTCTGCCCGGGAACTCCTCTGCGGATGGTGGCGTGTAGATGGCCAGATTCGACGCATGGAAGACTGGGTTCACACGGAGGTGTGGGGGAATGGCAATCACAAAGGAAGGACCTGCAGGGTCGTCGCCTGCTGCAGAAGTTATCTTCCATGGTCCAAACCATTTCGAGAGGAGTTTGCGCGAGACGTCCTGCTCAAGCGCGAATTCCTCAGCGAGGACCCAAACAAGGTCTCCCTCGCGGAAAGGACATGGGAGTCGACGTCAGTTGGCTTGCTGCTGCATGCGGATTTGAGCCTTTTGCATGTTTGCGCGGGCTTTGATCAGCAAGTCCCGGTACTTCCGAACGGAAGCGGGAGAGCAAGCGACGTCTATGTCGGCGGCCTGTGGTAGAAGAAGATTGGCAAAGACTCGGGCTTTCTCTCCATCGTGATGCAACTCGAATGGAGTGATGCAGATCGCCGGATGCACCGAAGTGTTATAGGCGAACTCGATGTCGGGAAGCCGGTCGACCCAATCTTTCTGGTCAGGACGGATGAGTGTACGTAACATCATTTGAGCGGTTTGATGCGCTCGTTCCGACTGTCCATTCGTTTGCGGGTGCCGTGCGGAACTCGGCTTCATAGTCAAACCGGACTCCGTCATGAGGGACGTCCAAAAGGCAGACATGAAGCGAGTGTCTCTGCGCTCACAATATCTTCTGGAACACCGTGGCATGTAATCCAGCCGGTGTGCAAGAGTCGGGCGAGCTCGGGAGCTGTAGCGCTATACTTGCATGGAAGAAAACGAGCGTACTTGCTCAAACGGTCAACGACCATGAGAATGCCGTCATGACCGAGGCGATTGCGGGGGAACGGGCCTGTAACATCCATAGCAATGGAGAGGCGAGGTGCCCGAGGAATCGACATCGGTTTCAGTTTGCCATAAGGGACAGTAGATCGACCTTTGTTGCGATGGCAAACTGCGCATGACTCAATATACCTCGTGACGTCGTGAAGAACGTCGGGCTAGTGAAAACGCTGGTGGAGGTGAGCCAATGTGCGGTTCACGCCAAGATGTGTCGAAAGTCGTGCGTCGTGGAATTTGCCGAGAAGACGAGTCCGTAAGATGCGATCTTGAGGCACCACTAACAAGTCCTTCCCTCTCGTAGGAGAAGTAGGAACCCTTTAGAGATACGATAATGACCAGCCGGCGGATGATCCGATGATAGATCCGCGTAAAGTGTAGAGTATGTCGGATCGGACTTGTAGCCGTTGACGAAATGCTGCTGCAGATCGTCGTCGAGGTCGAACGTCGTGGTCACAAGGGCACAAAGATCGGGCCGTCGTGAGAGGGCGTCCGCTGCTCGATTGGCGGGACCGGGAATGTGGCACGGCTCAAAGTCGAACTGGTCGATGTAATACATCCATCGACCGATCGTGCTAGTGACCGTGTCCTGCGTTTTGTAGAAGGTCAACAGATTGTTGTCCGTGTTCCATCTAAAATGCCGACGACCGAGAAGAAAGTGGCGCCACTGTTTGAGAATGGTGACGAACGCGAGTAGTTCTTTCTGCCTAGCGTCGTCGAGAGTGTTGATGGGAGGCACTTTTTGGGAGAAGTACTCGACCGGGTGTCAACCATCCGAGTGGCATTGTTCCAATACCGCACCAATACCGTACCCGGAAGCATCCGTAGTCACTTGGGTGGGTAGGGTGGAATCATAGATACGGAGGGCCGGTGCGTCTTGCATCCCGCCTTCAACATATTGAACGCGCCACGAGCGTCGTCGTCGAACTCGAATGGTACCTTCGGGGACTGAAGTCTCGACAAAGGAGCTGCCACTTTGGAGTAAGACTTGACGAAGCGCTGATAATATCCAGCCAAACCCATGAAAGACCGTACGTCCGTCGTGCAACGGGGTTCCGGCCAATCCACGATGGCTTGGATCTTGTCCGCTAAGGGACGAATGCCTTTCGGCGTCACATAATGGTCCAAGTACGCAAGCTCCTGCTTGGCGAATTCGCACTTGTCGCGGTTTGCTTTGTACTTGGCTTCTCGCAAACGTTCCAACACCACACGGAGGTGTACGAGGTGCTCGTCGAGCGTCCTGCTATAGACCAAGATATCGTCGAGGTAGATGAGGACGGAACGGTCGAGCAAGTCTCGGAACTCCGTTGTCATGGCTGCTTGGAAACTTGTCGGGGCATTGGTGAGTCCAAATGGCATGACGACCCACTCAAAATGCCCATACCGCGTTTTGAAGGCGGTCTTGTACCGATCTTGAGGCTGGATTTCAATCTGGTGGTAACCCGACTTCAAGTCCAACTTCGAGAAGTACGTCGCGCCGCCCAACCGCTCGAGGAGATCATCAATCCGAGGGAGAGGGCTGGCGTTCTTAACGGTTTGTGCGTTAAGTTTTCGATAGTCAATGCCCAACCGTAGGTCCTTGTTCTTCTTCCGGACGAAGAGAATGGGCGCACCGTATGGCGAACAACTAGGGCGAATCCAACCCTTGTCGAGAAGGTCATCGAGTTGTGCACGAAGCACCTCGAGTTCCTCTTCGCTCATGCGGTAAATGCATCCACGCGGAGGGACGACACCAGCCTCGAGAGTGATCCCGTGACGTATGGGCCGATCCGGAACAATTCCGGTGGGAGCCTCGAAGACGTCCCATATCCGTCTAAGAGGTGGGTAATACGTGGGTCCGGCGGTGACGCGGCTGGTCCGTCCGGCGAGGGGAGGGCATGTAAGAAAACAAGGCCCATCTCCCCGACTTCATTCATGTATGGCGTCGCGAATCCTCGCAACGGAAACCACGTGACAAGCAATCGAAGTATGAGGGGTCACGACCGCACATGGGACTAACACTCCGTTTCGATCACGAATGTGAACGGTTCGGTCATGAAAGTTCACCGGATGATCGGCGCTACGCAACCAAAACATGCCTAGAATCATGTCAAACTTGGTGTGGAGGATGTCAAAAGACACCGGCTTGCACGCAAGGGGTGCAAAGTATACCGGGACGCCGTCAACGCATCGGTCGATTGACTTTTGCGTGCGTCCGTCTGCGAGTGTAACTTGCGTAGGTTGCGTCTTCCTTCGAACGCACGGGCCAAGGCCTGCGCGGGCCATAAAGGCTTGGCTCATAAAGTTGCGAGACGCTCCGCAATCAATCAAGGCACTACAGGTTGCCTTTCCGATTTGAATGCGGATGTAGAGCAAAGGAGCATCGGTTTCGGCGTACCTTTGGGAGGCGTACTCGCGGTCAATCTTCGCAAGATAGGAGCGGAGACTGACAACCGCTACTCCGTCGCCTGTCAACGGAGTTGGTACTGTAGCGTGCAAATAGGAGCGTAGATGTGCCATCAAGGCGTTGCAATGCGGCTTTGGCAAGGATCCGGTCGAGGGTAGAGGCATCCAAGCGAAGTCCTCTCTCGTGAGCGGGTCAAGCTCCTCAAGTCTTGATCACGCCGCCGAGTCCTCGGATAGTGGCAAACTGACCGGTTCACTTGCCAACGGTGTACAAGCTGCGCATACGCTGTCTAGGTGCACATGGCTAGGTTGGTCCAATGGTGGTACTAGTTGGGCGGCATAATCCTCGTATGTAGCACGAGAATCAGTGACTAACGCATGCTCCCCGGTAGTGATATCGGTTGCTAGCAAGGCAACCGGTTCCGACGGAGTGAGGAGAGGCGTTGCCCCTCTCCTTGCGTAACTCAGTTTCCCGAGTTAGCTGGACGGGTTACGCGTGTCTTGCCCTTGTCCGAGCATTGTGCGGTAGTGTGGGTGACACTATTGCACCATAGGCAATATCCGTACCGTTGGCGTAGGTCAAATACCTCCTTGGTTATGTTGTATGCCGTCCATGGTTGCTGCCCAGTTCCCGTCGATGTCATCGCTTGTGTCGCCTTGTTCTTCCAAACTCTCTTGGGACGCTTCGACGGGAGCGCTGCGACAGTTCCTCCATCACTCGAGGATGCTGCTGCAGCGCGGACATTGACTGATTCATTAGAATGTGCCGGTCGTTGGTAGCCCTACTTAGCCACATAGTGCGGCTGGGACTGTAGTTCGTTAGCAGCCTTGTCATCCGTTTGGATGACCAGGTTCGCACGATCCAGAATATCCAGGAATGAGGCATAGTCGTACTCGTTGCGGAGTGCCGACCGCAGTCCTGCGCACGATCGCGAAAAGAATTCGGATCGTTGATTTGGAAAACTCAAGTCGAAACCTGGAGTGGTTACTATCTTCTGCCACTTGATCGTTGGCATGCTTCCTTGTGAGCTGGTGTAGACCTCGTTTATGGCCGCCTTTACAACGTTGCGGACCATGAATCGAGTGAACCACAGTTGCTCGAACTCCTTCCACGGAATGTGCGTGTCGAGTTCGGCGATGGTGCACTTCTTGTTGGCCGCGAGATGGTTCATCCATGCCTGTGCTCCTCCAATCAGTTGGAGGTAGAGCGCCTTCATCATGTCTTCAGCCGGTACAGTGCGGCAGGATGCTTCGGTGAAGAAGCTTTGCCACCATGTCAAGGCGTCCGTCTTGTTGTAGTTGTCAAACTTGCTGATGTTAAAGTGCGGCATCTTGTATGTCTTTGTAGCGGCGTCCGGTCTTGTCTGCAGTTTGGTGATGTCCGTTTTGATGGCGGCCACAGTGGTGCTGATCGTGGCCGGACTAGTGAAACCACCTAGTTCGCCGATAATAATGACGATATGGTCGATGCGCTCCCCGAGCTGTTTCGCCATGTCTGTCGTGCAGCCTGGCGCTGCTTGGGAAGGCCTTGCCTCCAGAGCAGCAATGCGGGTGTCCATCTGTTGCAGCTGGGAGTCCGCGATCTTGACGGTTGCTGCAAGCGTCTTCACGTTATGGTTAAGATCGTGCTGCAACTGCCGTTTAGACCTGGAATGAAGGTCACCCATGGTGCTGTTCCAGATAACTGCGCGCATTGTGCATAGTAGAATGTCTGCCAGGTTTTGTCTCTCCTGTTGTACTGCCGTCGGCTCGGCGCCTGCTACGGGGACATAATGCATCCCGTTGAGTACAGCTGCCCACTGATCTTGGTGAGAGATCAGAAGTTCGGAATTGTCGGCGTTGAGCTTGTCGGTCGCCATCTGCTCCGCCTCAGCTTGTCGCTGGGCTTGGGCTGCAGCTTTTGCTGCCAGCCTCTGTTTGTCTGCTATGGCAGCATCTTGCCATTCCTTGGCAAGGGTTAGTGAGTCCGTATAGGTCTTCACTCTCTGAATGTAGTCCGAGATGGACTCGTTCGGCCCTTGAACAGGACAGGCCGACAAGGGTTCGGCATTACTAGATGTCGAAGTCTCAGACGATGTTCCGCTGTTAGGCGTGGTCGCCATTTGTGTGCTGGTCTGTGGCTGCTGTCGAATTGCAGGGTGCTGTTGGAGATCTGCGATCCGTTTGCTGCGTCGTGGCTGCTGTTCGATGGCTTGGCCTGTTGGCATCAGGAAACTGCTGCTGAAGGCTGGCCGGTCCGAATGGTCGCAGAACAGTGAGAGGGAGAGGGTGGGCACAGGGGTAGAACAGATCAAGCAATTGGCGTACAGTCCCTGTCCCAATTATGGACTTAGACACCTAATCAACAAGAAAAAGATGAACTTTCCCCAAAACAACTTAAAAGTTCGTAATAAGAAATAATAATGAATTAATAATCAATAAAATTAATTAATGATTCATAACGAATTAATAATCTCTTAATAATGATAATGAACGAATTTTAAATTGTGAATGATTAGGTATCCGTTGAGATCACCTATGGTCCGGGAGTTCACCGTCAATTAGTGAACTACTCGGAAGTTGCAGTTCTGAGGGGACGATTCCGAACAGTTTGCCAAAAAAAAAATTCGGATAATCAGGAAGAAAAACACTCGAACGAAAAACGTACAATTTCGGGAATTTCAACGTACAAAGTACGATTTTCAAAGGCCTAAGTCCGTATTTCGCGATTCTGCTGAACTACCGGTTTTACGGTTCCAAAACATTCGAATTCCCCAATTTGAACGAAAAACCGAAATTTATCGTAACCCTAATTCCAATACCGAAAATCAGAATGCCGAATTAAAACAGAATACTGATTTAAACAGAATAACGAATTAGAATCAGAAGACCGAATTAAAACAGAATATCGGATTATGAAATCACACTACGATTATTCAACTTGTCATGTATGCAAACAGCGAAACAGCAAATTGGCGACAGGCGCCCACTCAGTACTCATGATATCGTATCCACATAAGAGTTCTCTTCAAACTGGCTATGGCGACTGAGCGCCCACACAACTCACTGTTCGCACTCTGGATCACCCTGGATGTCCCACACGCAACACTCAGTATCACACTTCACACACACACATG